CATTGAGTCTCAGTGAAATTTTATAGTATGGTGAGGTGGGGACTTTTCCTGCTTTGCCTTGGGACATAGGACCCTAAGAAAATGTTGGGCCCATGGCACGGAAGTGACTGGTCTAGAATTTGAACCCGTACCTTTGTCATTGCATTCTGTAAGTTTTGCCTACGGCTCATTCTCTGTATATCTCCATTATACACCATGAGTCCTTTTTGTTGTTGTTGGTTTTCTGAGATGGGATTTCTTTGTGTAGCTTTGGCTGTCCTGGAACTCACTCCATAGACCAGATTGGCCTTGAATTCACAGAGCCTCTTCTTCCTGAGTGCTGGGTTTAAAGGCCTCTGCCACCACTTCCTGGCCACTGTGAGTCTTTCATTGCAAGTAAGCACAATGACTTTCTGTATGTGTGCATGCCTGTTCATGTGTATGTATGTATGTGGATGGCAGAGGTTAGCATTAGGTGTCCCTCTCCAAGAGCAATTGCAGGTGATTCTGAAGCAATTGAAGTTTGAAAACCAGATAAAAGGCTGGCTCAGTTTAAAAAAAAAAAGCATATTTGGGATTAATTCAAACCTAGTTGTGCTAGGGAATGGAGAGGTGGCTTGTCCAATAATGTGTCTGCCACATAAGTAGGACCTGAGTTCAATATCCAGGAGCCACATAAGAAGGTCAAGTCCACTGCTGTGCATTTGTCCTCCCAGTGCTGGGGAGGAGACTGGTGCAGTCCAGGTACTCACTGGCTAGCCCACCTCACCCATCCTAGACTCCTCCCCCTGGAGCACAGGGAGAAGCTGGTAGGGAAGTGGCTGGCAGCTCAGCTCTGTCTTTATGAAGATTGCTGGCATTCCCTGGATCCGCTAAGACAACATAGAATAGGTTTTCTCATTATTTTCAAAAGTTAAGGTCAGTTTAACTAGAAAGATCTGTTACAAATGCCTCTGTATCCTTAAAAGCGGTTAGTTTTCCCACTTCTTGCCTTGAAGTTTTATAGGCTTAAACTTGTCTGTGTAACTTATAGTCGTGAGATGAATATGGATTCTTTTATCCAACAAGAGAAATTTCTGAGTACTTGCTAAGCACACTTACCGATGCCTGATGTTTTCCCTTCCTAAGCTTCCTATGAGTGAGGAGATGCAAGAATCCAGTCAAAGAGCAAGATGTACAGACGTAGGGTTCCGTAGCCATGAGAGTAGAGCGGGTGGGATGCTTGTTCCGCCTCAGGACTGGTGGTGGAGCAGGAAGGTAAGAACCAGAAGGAATCTGGGAGACAGAGGCACAGAGCTGAACACTCTCGCTGCATGGGCGATGAGGGTGGCAGGGGTGGATGAGCCCAGGGTGACAGGGAACTTGCTGGGGGAGCATGGATTGCACTGTGCTGCACAGTTAGGACTTAGGACATCAGCAAGAGACATCAGTTGCTGCAGAGACTTGAGCATTTCACTTCTCCGAAAGTAGACGCGATGTTGCATTACTTAGGAAGGTTAACAACATGGCATCTTGTAAGGAGAATTGAAGGGGAGGGGAAGTCAGGTGGGGACAGTTACTAGCAAGCTTCTTTCAGAGGTCCAGGCGTGACTGTAAGTCCAGAGGGTTTAGATCAGGATGGTGAAGAGGAAGAGCAGGTGTGGAAGGACCTGGCATGACAGCGTCTCTACTAACAGAGAACAGAAGTAGAAGGGAACTCACAATAGCTGGTGTTGAGGATGTGGGAACATGTGGCTGGGGTTGAGTGCCTTTAGCCAGATGACAGTGTGTGTGGCCATCTCACTCTTTGCTGCTGGCAGTGCACACGGCTCTGGGACAGATGGTGATCACTGCTTCTCTTTACTTCGCTTGTGTCTCCTGGCTTCCCTGCTAGGTCCCTACCAAGAAGACCACTCCATGGGGGATATTTGGTTTGGGAATTCTTGATAATGAGACTTTGATTAAGTTTTTCAAAGTGCAGCCTTTGGAAATTTGACTCAAGTTAGTAGATAAAGCAGCGGGGGAAAATGAGAGTCCCGTAATCAAGTAAATTTGGAAACTACTGTAGAGAATCATATAGGTTTCTTTCTTTTCATATGATAGCAAAAGTGTTGCCATGGGGCCAGAGATGATGGATGACTTGGTTGGTAATGTGCTGATGTGCAAGCATGAGGATCTGGGCTTGGATCCCCAACAGCCACATAAAGAGCATCATGGTGGCAGATGCCTATACTATCAGCACTGGGGAGGCAGAGACAGAATCCTTGGAGCTTGTTGGTCAGCTAGTCTCCCACATCAGTGAGTTCCAAACTCAATGACTATCTCAAAAAAGACCCTTTTTAAGGAAGACAACCAATACTGACCTCTGACTTCTACATGCACCTACACGCACATGAATGTGTCCACACACAGAGAAACACTTACAGTATACCTAGACCCTCCCCCACAGAATGTTTTTTTTTTTTTACTGTAGAGAGGGTAGATGGTAGCACAAGCTTAGTGAACCATGAGCTCTTTTGGGAAGGAACAACTCAAGGGAAGAGGAATACAGAACATACTTTCGGAGATATTAGGCACTGGAGAGTACATCTTAGAAATAGGCCTCTGTGGTGGTTTGAAAGAAAATGCCCCCCCTCCCCACCAATGACTGGTACTGTTAGGAGGTGTAGCCTTGTTGGAGTAGGTCTGGCCTTGTAAGAAAATGTGCGTCACTGTGGGGGCAAGGTTTGAAGTCTCCTTTGCTCAAGCTACCTGCAGTGAGACAGACCACTTCCTATTGCCTGCAAATCAAGATGTATGACTCTCAGTTCTGTCTCCAGCACCACCTTGTCAACCATTACGATAATGGACTAACCCTCTAAAGCTGTAAGCCACCCAATTGGTTTTCTTTCTGAAAGTTGCTGTGGTCACGGTGTCTCTTCACAGAAATAGAAACCCTAACAAAGACAGCCTCTTACACCAAGCATTTGTAGTGTAAAGGAAAGAAACAAGAGGCTGGGATTTGATTCTGGAATCTATAGGCAGCCTGTGGCAAGTCACTGGGCTCCTCTCAACCTCTCAATCCTGGCTTCCATAGGTTTTTTTCTCTGATATTGGATGAATCATTAAGGTCCTTTCAAGTCCAGAAATCTGAGGTGATGGGTATGTGCACAGAGGGAAGAGAACTGTGACTTTTCTTCTCCAAAATAACTGGAGGTGGAAACAGGAAGGGGAGGAACAATGGTGATAAGATGTGGGTGGAGCCCTTGAGCTGATTGTCTGCTCAGGGCCGGCACTGCTGACTTCCCAGTTGCTCACTCTCTCAGATCTTCTGAGCTGTTGGATAATAAATTAGCCTTCTGAGTTTGAGGTTCATCTGCAAAAATAAGGAAGTTGGATTGGGTCAGAGCACACACGGGTATTATTCTTTCCCTACTGACCCAGGACAAGTGGACCCCAAGACTGTTTTACCTTCTGAAATGGTCTCACCCACTTCCATGTCCATTCCTGCTTTAGGTGGTTGGTTAATCCATTAACAGACGGCACCACACTCACCTGAATGTCAGACTCAATTTTCTGCCTCTCTACAGGCAAGATCTATTTTTTTTGTCTCCATGAGAAACAAAATTCTTTATTTTCAGTCTCTCTTTATGAACAGAATACTTCCTTTAGTTTTCCCAGCTTCAGAAAAGGAAAGAAGGGAAGAAAAAAAGAAAGAAAGGAAGGAAGGAAGGAAGGAAGGAAGGAAGGAAGGAAGGAAGAAATGTTTCTGATCTCAGGCTTCTTAGATTTCATCCTCCCATTAGTTTTATAGTGGTTTAATTTTCAATTATTTTATTATTATTACTATTATTATTATTGTGTGTGTGTATAAGTGTTGCTCATGTGCCATGTCATTTTGTCATGCTGCATGTGTGAGGTCACAGGATGTCTTTACTAGCTGGCTTTGTGTGTTAACTTGATACAAGCTTGATTTATCAGAGAGGAAGGAACCTCAGTTGAGGAAATGCCTCCATGAGATCCAGCTGTAAGGTGTTCTTTCTCAGTTAAGGACCAGTGGGAGAGGGCTCAGCTGTTGGTGGGTGGTGCCATCCCTCGACTGATGGTCCTGGGTTCTGTAAGAAACCAGGCTGAGCAAGTCATGGAAGCAAGCCAGGAAGCAGCACCCTCTATGGCCTCCAGGTTCCAGTCCTGCTTGAGTTCCTGTTCTGACTTCCTCCAAATGATGGACTATAATCTAGAAGCTTGATCCAAATGAATCCTTTCTGCCCAACTTGCTTTTTGTTCATATTTCACTGCAGCAATAGAACTAAGACAGTATCACATTGATGATATGTGCAGAGTTGAACATCTGGGGCATTCAGTGTACACCCAGTTAACTGGAGGAGTTGGTGCTTCCTTAGCTTCTATATCAGGGAGGTTGTGAGCCAACAACTATTCAGAACAGATAACCAGTTACATCTAAGGCAGAGGATGGTAGTCTGAGGTACACGTGAGATTTATCACATGGGATGCCGTATGGGATCACTTCGAGTCCTTGAGTCTCATTCGGAGATCCATGTGATAGTTATTTTCATGACCGTGCCGAGATGTCTTTTGCTTTCTCCTCCCTCATTCTCCTGTGAGTACATGGAGGAGCTTTCCAGAGGTTAACCGACACGTGATACTGCACCAAATTGAATCCAGAAGCAGATATGATAATCCAGCTGTTTTTGGAGAGGTCAGATGTTTGGGATCTCAAAGCATGTAAAACGGTGTCGTTCTTCTCACAGACTTTCCTGGGAAAATTTGTTTCTCACAGCAATTCATATTTATGTTAGCATAATTGTCATCAAGGAATATATAATAAAGTTAGAATGTTCTGTTTTAATTTAAAAATCAGTCAATATCAGGAGATAGAAATGAAACTCTTTGAGGTTCCCTGGGACGTGCCCAGTTCCATCAGAGAGCCTCAGTTGCTTGGAAGCTTTGCTGTGTACTGCGGATGGGGATGCTAAGGAGGAGCAAAATGAAACAAAATGTTGTAATAAAATATTGCTTTTCCTCTCCTTCTTTCCATCAAGGGAAATCTACAAGTGGCCTGACATCCGATGCTCTAGAAAGTTCCGGGCTTGTTGCTTGGATTCTCTTAAGAAGCTGAAATAACTGAAGAGGAGCGGGGGCCTTCTGTTTTGGAGGGTTCTGTCCTACAGAGGATGTTCTACACCCATTGACGTGAGTAGTCTGTCACTGTAGCTCTGTTGCCACATGATAATGGAAGTAGCCACCATCGGGGTGTGGCTCACATGGACTAGCCCGTCCTAGTACTCAGGGGGGTGTTGGATTCCTGGGTGTGTTTTCTAATATTACAATCGCATCACTTCTTATGAGTTGTTTTCTTTTAACAGTAATTTGAAGTGACTTATAGAAAAACAATACTCAGAACCGCCCCAACCGGGATCTAGAGCAGTAATCTGTAAAATAGTTTTAGAGAAATAAATAACTGCAAATGTCTACCTCAGAGACAGGGAAAATTTATATACTGAGCCAAGACTGGAGGCAGAAAGAGAAGCATGCTTACATTGTAGAGCTTTTAGCAGGAGTTTCCCCATATGTCAAGGAAGTCTGTCAGAGGTAACGTCTGGTCTCTGTGATCACCTCACCCTTTGGGCAGGTCAGATGTTACCGCAGACCCTAGCACTCTGGCAGCTTCATGGATCGGAGACCTTTCTGTTATAGAGCTCACTGATAACAGAAGCTTGTCTCCTTCATGGTGTGAAGGTCCATATCTTTAGGACCTTGCTCAGGGGCTGGTCCATGGAGGCTGCTCTTTGAAGACTTGTTACCTTGACAGTCCTGGTCTTGAGCCCTCCCTACCCTGGAGCTCACTGATCTCAGATGCCCCAGCTGCTTCATGCCTGTATCTCTGTCTGGCACTTGAAGGCTTCTCAGTGAGGATTCCTGGCTTGCCTTAGACTTGCCTGTGTCCAGTAGTGTTTCTGGAATGTTTTGAGTATGTGGATGACTGAGCACATTGTGTAGGACTGGGAGGAAAATGATTCCTGAAGACAGGAAAAATTCAGTGTTTTTTTTTCCCCCTCTTAGGAGATTTCCATTTTGTCACAGGAATTCTTGACTATGTACAATTTTCTGTTTCTGACCAAGCGAACTCCTCCCTTCTTGTGGTGATAAGCCATAGTTTAAAGAACTCTTTCCCCAAACTGTCTTATCAGTCTCCCTCCTGCTCTCCTTTCTTTTCTTCCTTCCTTTGAGAAACTCTGAAACAAAGCCTTCACAGTTCATATTTCAGAATGAATAATTCATAGCTATGCTTAGTCACTAATCAGAAGTTATTGCAGGTTTTCCCTGTTCCCTTAGATTTTCAAGCATTATTTATCTATGAATCAGCCTTTTCTACCTTTGAGAGGCTATCATTGTGGTCTTATTTCCTCTACTCTCCATCTGAAATAACTATTTCCAGAATCCATTATTTCAATATGGAAGTCATGGGCTAAATACAGCCCTGCCACTTAAAGCTTGGTTTGTCGTTTCCCCAACCCCTAACCCTTTCACGGTGATGCGCTGGGAGTTATCGGAAGTATGCTAGTTCCTTCAGGTACCAGCCTTTTTTTTTGTCACCAGTTCAAGTTCTTTTGAGCTACCAGAAAACACAGGAGAGCTAGTGGGTGGGGGTGGATAGTGGAGAGAGACAGTGGGCAAATTAGAATCAGGAGACAGGACAGAGAAAATGGGAGATGTGGGGGGGAAAGTGAGCAGACAGAGGAAGAGAGAGAAGAGAGAGGTGAGGTGAGAGGAAGACACGGTGGCCAATTATACCTACATTCTATATACATTTCAAACACCCAGGTTCTGGAGCAATTGGCATTCTCTCCCTGAGAGCGCTAATGTCCACTAGGGACCCACTGTTTCCCTATGGATGCCGACTATTCAGTCACTTTACTAATAGCAGAGCAGGAACCTGACCCTTGTTAGGCTCCAAGCAGACGGACACAGTTGCATCATCTCTGGTTGAGAGTTCTGCCAACAAGAATTTTTCCTTGAATTTTCAACTGCAGCTTGATTTTTCCTGCATGACTTAGAAGCTGTTTCCCATCACAGAGACCTAGGTGCGGTCTGTTCCCGTTTCATTCATCTCCGATGGGAGACAGGGGTCCTGTGCATCTTGGAAGACATGAAGACAGCACTGCTTGGGGTGTTGGAAGTGGGAATGGCTGAAGGTTGAATAGAAACAAACCTGGGAGCCATCTGCAGGCTACTGTGTAAATTGTGGCTGAGATGAAAGACTGTGGTTGTGCGGATGAAGATCCGTGTCAGGGTGATCTCAGAAAAGGTGGGGTTGGGAGAAGTAGCTAACTAGAGGATCCACAGCTGTCATAAGCATACCACCAGAGAGTGAGGGGACTCCTAGAAATGGAGGAAAGCTAATTCGTCAGAGGCAAGTGGAGGTAAAACACTCCCAGGTTTAGGCATTTCTGAAACACAGCTCCAGCAATGCTCCGAAAAGTGTCAGCTCAGGACGGATGTCAGCAACTGGTGGGCTGGAGGTCAGTAAGCGCTTTGTTGTGGAGATTCACGAACTTTGGACGATATTTTTACTCAGTAAAATGGGAATGTTTATTGGGCATCTGCGATGTTCGAGGAATAGTGGACGTAGTTGGAAGGGGAAGACAATGAACTATGTACCTAAGAGACATCCCCAGATAGGTTATTCAATGGCAGAAAGGGAGAGAGAGAGAGAGAGACAGAGACAGAGACAGAGAGACTATACTACTCAAGAGGATGGCGAAGGTAGAAAGAAGGCCACAGTGGCACCTCTTTCTGAAATATACTAGAAGAAATGCCCTGCACTTGAAAGGCACGGAGCTTGAGCCAAACCTTGGAGCCGGGGAGGAATTCAGCATGTAGAAGGGAGAGCACGGTCAGTTGTTATCGTTGGAGCTGACTTAGGCCGCAAGGACCCAGAGAGACCTGGCTGGGCACGTGAGGAGGAGAAGAGAGGAAATAGCGGACTACTCGGAGCAGAGGTGGGTGGAGGAGTGGTGGATAAGGTTGCAAAGAAGAGCAGCGGCCAGGAGGAGCAGAACCCTGACTGTGGCTGGGATAGGACATCTGGATGCCATCTTGGGGACCCAGCATTTGTACTGTCCCTGCTCTGGGTGTGTGTGTGGGGCGGTGACTTTACTTGTAGAGATGTTTATTCCTGGTGTCTGTCTTGTTGAGTGCAGGTAGTCCTGAGTGACGTTTGAGATGTCATAAAAATAAACTTTGAGGGGGGGGGGAATACTCTCCTTTGGGCCTGACACTGTATATGCAAGCATACTTGGAGCTAGTGTTTCCTAAGATTTCAAATCTGCTAGCTTTGATTTGATATTTATTTTGAATCCGCTATAAACTCTATTGCTCTCTGAGAAGAATGTGGACTGCTAGCAAGAAATCTTATTTTCATAGTTTCAGCTCTCAAAGTCTTACACCTTTTCATACCATATTGAATATTTTAGCCCCAGATATGGATTGTGGGGAATAACATTAAGCGTTCCACACTGGCAATGGCGACTGAATTACTACTCAGGCCTGAAGCTAGTCTGAATCCCTGCTTTCCAGCGCACAGGGCACAGAGTTTCAGAAGAAACTCTGAGAAGTATGCTTGAACTCGGTGGATAAAAACAGCTGCCACACATGTTTGATAACCTTGGTTTGATCCTCAGAAGCCCCAGTGGAAGGAGAGAACTGACTTCCAAAAGCTGCGCCTTAATTTCCACATATGTGCAGAGACACGTGTATGCCAAGTCATGCACGTGCGCGTACACACACACACACACACACACACACACACACACACACACACACACACCACCCCACCAGACACGAATACAAAGGAAGAAACAGTCCTTGTACGGGCTGGTTGTCGCCTGTGTTTTCCATCACAAAGGCAGTGCTAGTCCCAGCCCACCTCTGGTCTGGCCTCTGGGCAGCCAGATTCAGATGTTTCCTTCTTTAAATTTCCCAGGAAGAATTGCGCCACCTGTGTCTTCTCTGGGGTTTTTGGATTGTGAGACGATGGCACCCACACTTCCTAGAATAGCTGCTTGTGTGCGCCAAGCGTACGAGACTGCACACAACGACAGAAGGCAGGGTTTAGGGCCAGGAACAGCAGAAGCTTGAACCAGGCATCTGTTCCACAGACACAATGAAGTCCGGAGGTTGTGGGAGGTGGGGGTGGAAGGGCTCCACAGAGTCACTTGAGAATGTGGGCACTCTGCTCCGATCTGCTAGTCTTGAGTATTCGTCCTAACCCGGCTTTTCTTCTAGAACAGAATTTCAAAGGAGGTAGGCATAGGAGGAGGCAGGATTACCTGGAGCCCAAGAGGTTCAGCGTGTTGGATTCTGTGGCAATCTGCTATAACCCTGGGGCTTTAAATTCCATTTTTCTCTGTCTACATAGCATACCATACAAATTATGTTATAAGAAGGTGAACTAGGCACGAGTAGAGAGCCCTCTTTCTTCCTCAGGTGTAGAATCCAACTCATATCTGAGAGACTGTAGGCATGAACTAAAACTCCTTGCATGGAAAACCACCTGACCTCTTCCAGGAAGCCCTCAGGGACTTCCTTAAGGAACTTGACATTCCTTATATCTGGAAGGCCTCATCCTACAGATCCTATAGTGTTTCATGTTGTGGCTTACTCATCTAAAAGCATATGATTTTTGTTTTTCATGAAACCACTGCAAAATATTAGGCCTTTGTTCCCATGTAGGTGACAAGGAATTGGTGTCGCTGAGAGGCACTGTGAGAGATGTTATCAGCTTTGCTGTAGGGAGACTTGATTTCAAGACAATGTGTAAGAAAGACCAAAGGGGAAGGTAGCTCGGAGCTGCAGGTGCCTGAATGGTGCCCAGTGAGAGAGTGAGGGGGCTTGCAGCCAAACAATGCCAATCAGAAGAGAGAGGAAGGGGCCTTGGCTGCTCTGGAGGGTGGTGACTCCAGATGTATCAGCTCTGGGATGGACAGAGGCCAGCCTCCTGTGGCTCCAGAACGAGACAGTGATTGCACCCAAGGGGAGATAGTGCGGAAACACAGAAGCCTTGAGGATCAGGAAAGCACCGTTACTCTTTTTTTGTTGTTGCAAAACTGTAGTTTTCAAAGCCTTAGGCAAGGATGCGGAAGCCTCAGGATGAACACTTGGGCACTGTGCTGGTAAATTCGCAGTGGAAT